TCCTCCAGGGCCACCCATTTTGAATAATACTGCATGACTTCCTTGTTTTTCCAATGCAGCATAGTATTCCATTGTGTGAATATACCACAGCTTCTCTATCCATTAGTTTGTTGATGGGCACTTAGGTTGTTTCCAGCTCCTTGCTATTGTGAACAAAGCCGTGATAAACATGGGTGTGCATATATCTACTTCGGTGTCGGTTATGGTCTCTTTAGGGTATATTCCCAGTAGTGGAATTGCTGGGTCAAATGGTATCTCTATTTGCAAATTTTTGAGAAAGTGCCATACAGTCTTCCACAGTGGTTGCACCATTTTACACTTCTACCAACAGTGAATAAGTGTTCCAGTTTCTCCATAACCTCGCCAGCATTTGTTGCTTGCTGTTCTGTTAAATTTTGCTATTCTGACTGGGGTGAGATGATATCTCAGAGTTGTTTTGAAGGGAGAACTATTTTGAAGAAAGGATGTATCCTACTTTGCCATGTTCATAAACTGAAACAGAAACTTAGATATAAGACATATTCAAACTCAAATTCATAGAATTTCCCCATCTTAATTTTCTGATTTTAAAAAATTATTTATCTTTAAAAGTTGTTGCTGCACAAATGTCCATCAATAAATGAATAGATTAATAAATTGTAGTACATTCACATAACAGAATGCTTTTCAGCACTCAGGAGCAATTTTGAAAAAATAATATAGAACATGGCAGATGATGAAGAGCATTATGTTGAGTGAACTGATTTAGTCTCACAAGGATAAGTACTGCATAAAATCATTATTTGAAAAATAGATAACTTGTAAGATGGGTACAAAAGTCAAAAGGGGGAAGGGAAAGGTAGGAAGCTGAGACTAGGGAGGCATGGGGGAAATTATGGGCTTTCAGAGTTGAGTTGGTGGAGGGAGGGGGTAAAGGAATTATAAAAGATCCTGTGGGGATCTGAAAAGATAGAATAATATTGGGAATAGATCAATGGTGAGTGATTTTTATAAAACACAATGTGTGTGAATGGCCATATGAAAAACAATGTGAATGATGGAATGTGTAAAATCCTATGTATATGAATGAAACACAATGTTTAAGAATTCTATATGTAAACCACGTTGTTGTTGTTGATTGCCATCGAGTTGAGCACGAGTCATACTCTATGAACAAAAGATCTAATGCCTTCCCATAGCCATAGTGTTTCTCTAAGTTCATAGAGTTTCCAGAGGCACGTGGTTTAGGAAGTGCCTCTCCTGCTTCCAAACCTGTTTTACAAATGGGAGCTCCACCAAACATTGTCCACAATGAGGAACCATTCTGGTATTTGATATCTCTATGACACAAGGTTCAGCATCATAAAAAACTCAGGTTATCTCATACAGCACTTTGACAAAGAGTGATGTCCAAAGTGGAAGAATGTTGCTCCAGATATAACAGCACTAGTCTCACTTGTTGTTATGTGTCGTCGAGTCTCTTGCGACTCATAGTGACCCTATGTACAAGAGCTCTAAACTCTACTCTGTCCTGTGCCA